TATATATATATATATAGTCAATCTCTTAATGAGTTTATATCTAGATCTTCCTTCAGGTGGCAGGAGACTACTTGGGGTACACTTATTTGGACAGCAGTCTCTCACATGGTTTATTTGCACTCTAGTCTGGTTAGCTACCCTGAACAGCAGCCTCTCACTTGCCCAATTTTCCCACTTTAGTCTGGTTAGCTACCCTGAACTACTTGCAACTCGACTCTCTCTTTTGCTCATGAAGAAATATGGAAGACTGCTGGATGGATTGGAAAGAACAGAAACTTCATTTCATCCCCTTGATCATCTCATGGTTTATTTGGATGGCTAGGAACCCTGTTTAGTATAAGGAAATAAGGATTGCAGCCCACATTATAGCTCTTAACTGCTGTAGTCATATTGATATCATTAAAAGGCATTTCTGTACCAATCTTCCTGATTAGCTCTTAACTGCTGTAGTCATATTGATATCATTAAAAGGCATTTCTGTACTAATCTTCCTGATTAGTACAGAAATGCCTTTTAATGATATCAATATGACTACAGCAGGTAAGACAGTTAAGAGCTAATCAGGAAGATTGGTACAAAATGCCTTGGGTCAAAATCAACACTGATGGTTGCTTCTCTGCACAGATGAGCACTTCCAATCTCCTGTCTGGATTAAATCTGCCCTGCAAGCTGAAACTGTGGCCATTTTTTGGGCCTTAAAGATAGCCTCCTAACTCAACCTTAATTATATTACAATTGAGTCTGATGACTTGCAACTAATTCAAATTCTCCAAAAGAAATCTTCCATCCCTTGGCAGCTGATATACTGGACTAAGAAAATTTGGCAACTCTCTTCCGGGGTTCAAGTTCTTTGGAGTTACACTCCCACTCCTAGGGAAGGGAACCAGCCTGCTATCTGGTTAGCTGGATCCTCTTGCTCTGCTGAGCAAACACTTCGTTGTAATGGTTCTTTTCATTTTTTGAAAGTTCTCATTCCTGTAGATTCTCTTGATCCCCCTTTCATGAGATGTACCTAATTTTTGTAGCAATATATTTTGTTTTTTGGGCCATATATATATATATATATATATATATACACACACACACACACACACACACACACACACACACACACACACACACACACACACACACACACACACATATATATATATC